ATCTTGGCTATAAAGGGAGCTTGTACACTTGGTGGAATGGAAGGTCTGGTATTGATTGCATCTTTAAGAGACTTGATAGGTTCTTTCCTTGATTTGTTGCCAGCGTTAGAAGTTGAGCACCTCATCAAGTATGGTTCAGATCATGCTCCTCTCTTACTACCATGTAATATTGACAATGTCCAAATTAAGAAACCCTTCAAGCTTCTCAATTTTTGGACCAAACATGAGTCTTTTCTAAAACTGGTGAAGGAAAATTGGAAAGCTGACTCTATGGGGAATCGATTCATTATATTCCAAAGTAAATTGAAGAAGTTGAAGTCAACACTGGCAGCCTGGAGAAAGGAGATGTTTGGGGATATATTCAAACAAATTGCAGCATGGAGGATGTCATTAAGGTACACAAGATTGAATTTGAATTAAATCCAACAGTTCAGAATAGGGCAAAGCTGCACAAAGTAGAAGTTGATCTTACAAGATATTATCATCTGGAAGAAGAATTTTGGAGGCAAAAGGCTAGTATGCAATGGTTTAAAGATGGGGATAGAAATACTAAGTTTTTTCATGCTCATGTGAGAGGCAAGAGGAAGAGACTACAACTATCTAGAATTCTAGACAAAAATAATAATTGGCTGGAAACACAAGAAGACATGGCAAGGGAGACAATTGAGTTTTTCCAAGCTCAATTCACAAAGGAGAGAATACCTACCAACTTTGACATTATTCAGCATATCCCTAGGTTGGTTTATAATGATCAAAATACAAAACTGTGGCAAAAACCAACCATGGAGGAGGTTAAGGCAGTTGTTTTTGGGTTGAATGGTGATGTTCCAGTGGTCCAGATGGATTCACTGGACAGTTCTATCCAGCTAGCTTGGAAGTTATAGGTGAGGATATCCTGAACATGGTGAGAGCTTTCTTTAATGGTGCAGAATTACCAAAGTTCATCACCCACACAAATCTTGTATTGCTTCCAAAGAAGAAGAATGTTGCAATATTTTCTGATATGAGGCCAATCAGTTTGAGTAACTTCTCCAACAAGATCATATCTAGAGTTATCCATGAGAGGTTAGTTGAGCTTCTACCTTCACTAATCTCTCCTAATCAGGCTGGCTTTGTTGGGGAGGGGGGGGAGCATAGTGGAAAACATACTGCTTACTAAGGAGATCATAATTGACATATGGATGAGAGGGAAGCCAGCCACTATGGCAATCAAATTGGACATGACAAAGGCTTATGATAGAGTGCCATAGCTGTTTTTAACAAAGGTGTTGAGGCAAATGGGGTTTGGAGAGATCTTCATTGATATGATATTCAGATTAGTGTCCAACAACTCGTACTCAGTTCTATTGAATGGCCAGGCCAATGGCTTCTTTAAATCTTCAAGGGGTGTAAAGCAAGGCGATCCTCTTTCCCCTACATTGTTCATTCTAGCATCTGAAGTGCTTGAGAGAGTATTGGATGCTTTGTTTGACAATCCAGATTTCATAGGCTTTGGCATGACAAAGTGGAGCCAAAACATCAATTATCTATCCTATGCAAACGGCACTATCATATTCTGCTCTTCTCGTTATGGGGCAGTCCAGCATATCATGAATGTATTGGGGGATTATGAGGCAGCTTCAGGGCAGAAAAACAACAAGGAAAAGTCTTCCTTTTATATGAATGAAAAGGCACTTGCAGATGAAGTGAAATAGTCCATTTAATCACTGAGTTCCAAAGGCAGTCCTTTTCATTCACTTACTTGGGATGTCCAATATTCTATAGTAGGAGGAGGAAGGATTTCTATAAGAGCATCATTTTTAAAGTTCAGGAGAGATTATCATCATGGAAGGGTAGGTTACTCTCAATTGGAGGAAGGGCAGTGTTCATTACACATGTGTTAGAACGCATGCCAATTCATCTCCTTTCAGCAGTGAATCCTACAGTATATGTGATCAACCAATTACACAAGATGTTTGCTATAATTTATTGGAGCAACTCAGGTAATGGAAGGGCAAAACATTTGGCTTCATGGGATAATCTGTGTTTACCTAATTATGAGGGAGGTCTTGGTTTTAGATCATTACATGATGTATCCAAGGCATTTTTTTCTAAGCATTGGTGGAACTATAAAGCAAAGAATACTCTATGGAGTACATTCATGAGAAATAAATATTGTAAGAAGATCAATGAAGTAGTGGTACCATGGAGACAGGGATCTCGTGTGTGGAAGAAAATGCTTCAAATGAGGGATGAAGTGGAACATCAAATGTGGTGGCAATTAAAGAGTGGGAATTCATATTTCTGGTTTGATAATTGGACTGGACTTGGAGCCCATTATCATGCTTCAGGTCTAGATCATTGGTGTGATGAATCTAAAGATTTCTTGATGATGTAGTAGAGAATGGGGCATGGAATGAAGGGCATTTGACGGAGCTACTGCCAGAGGAATTAGCTGATCACATTTTGGATTCAATCACACCACCTTCAGATTACTTAATGATGGATAAACCTTGGTGGAAGCTGGAAATAAAAGGGCAATTTACAGTGAAGTCTGCATGGCAATACATACGAAAATGAAGAGATGAAAGCAAGTTATGTAGGTTTTTTTTGGTAAAGGGTGTGCCTTTCAAGATAAGTTTCTTCATGTGGAGGTTATGGAAGGTAAAACTACCATTAGATGATTGGTTCTTAAGGCTAGGGTACTGTAGAACCTCAAGATGCTAGTGTTGTAGGAACCCTAAAGAAAAGACATTGCCTCATGTCTTTTTAACATCACCAGCTGCCAGATTTGTTTGGAACTACTTTGGTGCACCAGTAGGGATCAAAATAGAAGGGAAGAAGTTAGTACAAGTGATAAATGAGTGGTGGAATAAACCTGGGAACACAAGTTTGAAGGCAATCTATCAGGCTATGCCAAGTCTGCTTGTGTGGCATTTGTGGAAGAAAATGAATTCAGGGTTGCATGGTAAGAATGTATCCTTCAATAGGTTAATCTTTCAAATATCAACCTCAATTCAAATATTTTTAAAGGTGAGAAGACCAGGCTTCAAGGGAGTTACCACTAACTAGCCGGACTTACATGAGAAGTTACTAAATCATCTCCCTAGATTGAGGTACACTAAGGTGTTGTGGCAATTACCTCCGGATGGATGGATTAAATGTAACACTGATGGGGCTTGTAGAGGGGATAATGGAGGAGCCTCCTATGGGTTTTGTATTAGAGATAGTATTGGGGATCTTATATATGCCCAGGCAAATATAGTTGAAGAGGCAACCAATAATATTGCTGAAGCTCATGCCATTCTTGAAGCAGTCAGGTACATAGTTCAGATGCAATATCCTCCATGTTTAATTGAGACTGGCTCTTTGTTGATGAAGAAAGTTTTGGATGATGTGTGGGAATCACCTTGGAGCATTGCTAATCAAGTAGATGAAATCAAAGGTCTTTTATCTAAGGGTGTGTTCCAGATTGTTCATGTGTTGAGGGAAGGAAACAAGTTAGCAGACCACCTAGAAAATTTGACGTTGGATCAACAGCACATCATCTAGGTGCACTCCTTTTGGGAGTTGAAATTAGAAGGAAGGAAGATTTTGAACAATGACAAGCTTCAAATACCCTATATTAGGGTAAGAACTGCCAAGCCAAGTATTAATAGAAATGAAAGGGATATTTATGAAGTATAAGGGGGTGAATCTTGTAGCCATGAGGAGGAGGAGTAGATACTATGATTAAATGAGGCAAGCAATAAGGAATGGAGATTACAGTGCACTTCCAAATTAAATCCTTATGAAGGAGAGAAGGAAGGCTTTTTTTACTAACATGTTTGCTGATTTTGCAGGTACTTTGGAGGAGGATTGGCTCTATGTTTTGGCCAAATCTATGAGGTAGTATTAGTATCTTTGATACTCATTCCCTATAGGTGTAACCACTACTTAGGCCAATCCAGTAACACTCTCACCAAGCCAAAGATAAGGCTACTCTTTAGCCATTGCATCATGGCTCACCTTTGACCATATGGAGAACAGGTGAAGGAATTCTTCATACAATGCAAATCCTCGTGCATTCACCACTTCCTGAAGATCACACTAGTCAGAATTTACAGTACTCATCAAGAGACAATGGTTAGGGACACCCACAAAAATATGCTACTGCCCGGAACAACTAGGTTTGGTCATGGAACTTCACACCTTTGGGCGGGACATGTTAGCATGTGTTGGAAGAATTCCTTGTTACATTGTACAACTATCAAACAAGAGGAATCTACTCAAAATAGGTTTGCTACAAAATGGCCCAGGTATGATCACTTAATTTGGTGGCAAAGTTGCTTCTATGCCCATCCTATCTTGGCCTGGCCATATACTGTTGAAGACTTTGCGTGTAATTCGATCCAAAGGCAGTCAGTGTCAAGCTCAAACTTTATTGTTAGGCATTATATGGAGCAGATTGATGATCAAAAGCTCAAATGCAAGTGCCTAGAATCATCCGCAACAAAGAAGGCCAGTTTTTCAAAGACAACTTGCAAGTTTTTCATACTTAAGTTCCTTCAATGTTTAAGGCTTTTTGCTCTCTTTGTACTATCAAAAGGCTGTATATTACAGCACTTCGATAATAGGTGCCATGTAATTTTTCCTTTTACGCACTTCCATTTTGCGAGACCTTCATACACATTTTGTTTTCGTTTTGTTAATTTTTAATAAAACACACCTCTAAGCAACCCGTCTAGTGGTATATTTGCTTAAAAAGGACTTGTGTTCAACATTAGATTTTAAATGTTAAGAATATGGACCGACATCATTAGAAGTCAACACCAACAAGGGAATTCATCTTATATAGGCTACGTTGTCATGATTTGAGTGAGAATATTATAATTATTAAAGACTAATTAAATCTTTCTTACTTCCTAACCAAGTAATATAACTAAGGAGGAAAATATGAAAAATGAATGGATTATATTTTTAGCAAATGGTTAAATAAATGTAGCATAGGACCATTAGCAAAAACAAATTGTATTCTTTACAACAGATAACCAAAAAGAAAAAGAAAAAGAAAAAGAAGAAAGAGAGGGAGGGAGAACGAAAGGACGGATATATTGTGAAGCAGAGGTAGAGAGGGGCCGTAGCGTACTATCCAATCACCAATACAAAGCAAAATAGATCCTTCGCCGCTATCAGTCATCGACGATCGTATTTTCTCCCGCCCAAATCCTCATATACTTAAGTCCTTCGGCGAAGGTAAGGATCAGACACACAAATATTTTGAACATTGAGTTTCTAATATCTAATCAGCCCTTTTTCAGATCTAATCTCTTTGGTGCTTTTATTTTTGGCATTCGGTTTCTCTCTCATAATGAAATGTGCTCAAGTAGAATAGAGCGAAATGTTATACGAGGATTCGTATAGCTGACCCGACTAGCTTGATGAGTGATTGATCAATTTGTCCTTTGTTCCACTTTATGTGGCAAGGATTGGAGCTCAAATAGTTAATCATCCATGTCAATTTACATATTTAGAAACTGCATAATATAATAAGTCAAAAATTTCAAGAAAAACATGGTCAAAGACCTCTTGATTCCCCAAATAGTAATGTTGCCACATAAATTGGAACAAAGGGAGGAGTAATCTACATTGAGGGAGTTGCAACTTGCTAGCAATAAGAAAGTGGGAACTTTCATTCTGTTATGATCGCCAGCTATAATGGGCGGTATAGGCAATCAGCTTTATCATAACTTCTTATAAATTGATCTAATGTGAAGTTCTTATTCACATTCAAGGTGATAGAATTGAGTTTTCTCACTCTTTTGCTTCTTTGGTGATGATCCCACTGTGATTGGCAATGTATACCTAACAATTTTTAGCATGACGTTTTGCCCTTGATCTTATTCCATTAATTTTTTAATAAGGATCTTATTCCATTGTTATGTGGCATTTTTAGGATTGTAGAGTTGAGTTTTTATGGAGAGAGTTGGAGGTGATGGTGCCTCGGCAGCTGCAGCATTTAACCAACGGAGTCATGAACTCTCACAAACTTTCCAGTACTATTTAGATAAAACTGTTCCTCATGCTCCCTATAGGTGGATTGGAACCTTTGTCTTAGCATTTGTTTATGCCCTGCGGGTTTATTATCTTCAAGGATTCTACATTGTTACCTATGGTTTGGGCATCTACATACTCAATTTGCTGATTGGTTTTCTATCGCCTCTTGCTGACCCTGAACTGGAACCATCAGATGGACCTTTGTTGCCAACTAAAGGTTCAGACGAATTCAAGCCTTTCATACGTCGCCTTCCAGAGTTCAAGTTCTGGTAATATGTCTGCCTGTATGGCTGTGATTCTTTTTTTTTCTTCCTATTTTCTGCTAGAAATGGTTGTCATCTCTTTTGATTTTCTCTTCCTGCTATATGGGCTGTGAACTTTTTGCTATTGGGGTAAGAAATGGTTGTCATCCATATTTTATAAAGGGTGATACCTTTATCATCTGCTGTAGTTTTTTGATGTCTACTCAAAGTTGTTTTAGGTTTCTCTATATGTTGTTTGACGTTGGTGTTCCTTGGTTAAATTTGAGAGTGTTATTTACATGTGAGAAGTTAGAAGCAGGAAGCATACATGCTTTTCAGAATTTGGAAGATGATATGCCTGTCATTAAACGGTTGTCTTGAGAGCACTAACATCTTCTTCAGTGCTTGAGTCAGTTTCATGACATAGATTTAACCGTTAGGGTACCTTATGGCTCTGGTCGTTCTAGTTTATTTTTCCTTATGGGCAACTCCTATATTATTTATATCTCCAAGGATGGGGTGGTAGTATTACAAGATACAGAAAAAGAGCTGCTTCATAAAACTCATGAAAGCAACATAGTAGTACTGCCCACCTTTTCCTTACCAGCATCAGGAGACACATAAAAGTGCTGCTTCATGAGCTGAAGAGCAACATAGAAGTATTGTCCACCTTTTTCCTTCCTTGACGTGTGCGACAATATTGTCTAATGTATGATCTTTGATATATGTTGCGTAAGATTAGGGGCACTTTTTCTAACTCCTCAAAAGAAAGGCAAAAAGAAGAAAGATTGGGGGCTTTTTTGTTTCATTTTTGGTGTAAAAACAGCTTTTTAGAAGATGCAGAGAACCTTTGCTTGACATTATAGATTACTTGTAAGATAGAACAAGGATTACTGTTTGGATTTTGAATTGTAAATATGGCTTAAGCACAGCCTTTATGCTGATAATATTTCTGTTAAGCCAAGTTAGTTACAGAATCAGTTCCCAAAGTTAACGGATCTGTAGGAATTATGTAATCAAAAGATGAACAAGTACGAAGCCGAGGGCAGTATCCAGGTTGTTTTAGAGGATGTCGGGTCCTCCAATAACCTTAGAATATTGGTTTCTTTCCCCCTATGTCCTGGGTTGTAATCTTTTGGAATTACTTCAATTTCTTTCTGTAAGGTTACTTCTAGAAGATGCCTGCTTAGAAGGAGCAAGTTGGGGTATCACTACAATAGTTTCATAAATGCTTCGTAATTTTCTGTTTTTGCCTTTTGAAAATCAACCTTTTTTTGGCGACGGTATCTTACCGTTACAGACTACATGTGTATTACCGTTACAGACTACATGTGTACGAAAGAAGGAAAAATTAGGTACTAAACTAAAAAAAAATGTCCAACCCTTCTCGGAAGAAAAGAATACTAATCATTAGGTTAGCATTCATGTATTCATGTGCGTGCATCTCCTTAAAAGATAAGAATACCAATCATTAGGTTGTTTGCATTCTATCAGCCAATCATATACTTGTGTGCATGCATCTCTTTTGAATAATTTTGCATAATCTGGAGTTACACCATCCAATGGTATGCTATGTTTTCCATTAACCAAAGAATCATAGGAAGGAGAATGACATGTTTTGGTGCTTCATGTTAATGTAAAAACTGATTTTTTTTTCATCTTTTTACTTTCTGGGGTGCGGAGTTGTGAATTTGGTAAATAGAGGAGTTTGGTTTTACTATTTCTTTCAATAGTCAAATATCTTTCTTTTTCTTGTGGGAATGACTTTAAATAGTCATGGAGACTGATTCAAGGCACTGCTGTAACTTTCACAATATTGCTTTTGGGTGCTATTGCCACTTATTGATCTCATATTTGCTGTCTGCATTTTTCCTTTACATAGCATATTAAAGCACGATAAAGATTCCAGTACATCTGTTTCAGGCAGTTTGCTGCTTTCTCTAACATTTTAGGTGTTACTGCATGTTTATGATTGTTTTGTTTGTCTCAGGTATGCCATAACAAAGGCTTTCTGTGTTGCATTTATGATGACATTCTTCTCTTTATTTGATGTTCCCGTGTTCTGGCCTATATTGCTCTGCTATTGGATTGTTCTTTTTGTCCTTACAATGAAGCGGCAAATTATGCACATGATCAAATACAAATACATCCCGTTCAACCTTGGAAAGCAGGTGAGATCAGCAGCTAATGAGTTTGTGTTTTCAAGTTGTGTCAAGCTGCTTATGCAGGCAACAACTGATTTTACTAGTCTCATTTGGTAAATATTGATGCACTTTCTTTGTTATTGCAACAGAAGTACTCTGGGAAAAGGCCATCAGCAAGTGGCAGCAGCCCCAGAGCAGACTGAACTATTGCGGGTTTTTTTTCAAAATTAAATGGAGGAAGAAATAGGCCAAAAGGGGAAAAGAATGGATGAAGTTGTTCCATAGTTTTTTCTTTATGGGATTTGTATCTACATTCTACTCTGACCTGAATTCGGAGTTACCAAAATGTAGTTTGTTAGTGATTGTTTAGTTGTTTTTCCTTTTCTCTCAGATTTAATACTTGTACTTGCTGAAATAGTCTAATCTGGTACATGTAACAACTAGATTTGCAGTTCTGGTAGCCATAGTTGATTGGAAAATGGAGATCTATTGTAGTTACTTGCAGTGAATCTTATTAGCATATGAAATTACATTCTTTAGTGCTCTGCTAGTTCTATTTTCATTACCAACAAGATCCTACCATTTGGTGTGACTATAGTTGCTTGTCTAGTGCAAATTATGTTGTGACGCATTTGGCCTGATAAATAGAGGTAGGAATTTCTTAAACAAACCAAACTCCTGTGTTATTCGACTAATCAAACTATCGCTCGAGGGTACGTCTTACTATCAATGTTCTTAACAAGTTGTTCCTCTGGTACGTATACCTTTCCAAGTATTTCAGTATTCCTAAATTGTATATACGCCCTTTCAAGGGGGTTTTCAGCTTCTTTATCCCACAAAGGAACTCATCCAAGATAACTTCATTGTGGGGAGGGCTGATGTAAAGGACATTATTTGGTGTTGGATCATCCTTTCATTAGACAGCTTTAGATACACGATCCCTCTGTAGACCATGGTTGTTTAGAATGTGACTCATTTTTATGGAATCTCTAATCCCCGTCACTAAGATCTTTTGCCGCATGGAAATATAATTCATTTTAACCCCCCGCCCATGACACCCCTACCCATCATCAACGTTGACAAGCAAAAACTTAAAGATGGAGTTGTGGATTCAAAGAGGATTATTGCTGCTATCTTTGACTATCTAAGACGAAAAGTGAATACCATCATGCAAAGAGAGTTTGCAAGTTGCAATCAGTCTTACTGACTCTGCCCTCAACTTCAAGAAACCATATTTGTTGGACACAACATTTACAGACTTCGCAGGTTTTAAATTTAAGAGACCCAAAAAAAATTTATAATAATAATTACTATTATTATTAATTACATATCCAATTTATGATTCGAGAAAAGTCACTACTTACTCATCCTAGCTAAATGATGATATTGTAAAATGAGGGTTCTTAAAGCAAAAACAACTAATATTACCAGTAAGGAGCCATACAGAAACCAATGATTCCATAGAAAAGAGCACCTATAAGAGTCAAGGAAGATTGCACGTCGAGTAATCGAACCAAGTTGGAATCTAGTGCATCTCTAGGTTTATAATGCATCAATAGAAGGAAGGAATACACTTATTTGGTTAGAAGAGTAGTATGCAACAAATATTACAACAAGGCGTCCAGAAACTCGCTTATTGTGGTGTATGTTATTTGTGGATATAGCTGCGTCCCTTCCAAATCACCAGAAGAGTCAATGCTGAAGTATGTCTGATCTCCTTTAACGAATGCAGAGTATATGAAAACCAACTCCATATTCTCAGGATACGGCATTTCTGAAACAAACAAATTAACCATTCAGGATATAAGATGTCCTAGGAAATAGAGAGTTTCTCATGCATTATACTTTCACTGATCAAAAAGAGAGATAAATATGCATCAGGCATCTAGCAATAATAGCTCACGGAGTAAATTATCTGTAAAGAATTTATGCGGATGTAATTAGTAGGGCTCTTGATCAACCAAAGTCGGCCTTCATACTGCCTACTTTTCATTGTTCTCAAGGCTATGCTGGAAAAAAAAAAAGAAGAGGAGAATTACTGCTCAGCTGGAATTCTCCAAATTCCCCTCCTATGACCACTAACACAAATATAAGGCAATTGAGAGTAGAAGGAGAGAGAGAGTTGAGGATTGTTAGGCAAGAAAAAGCAGCTAAAAATGAGTCGATTGGACTATGTCTTGCAGGGTGATATTTGGCCACCGAATGGACTATGATAAGTATCTCTACTTTTAAAAGAAAGCTGCAAAATTAGCTTCATCCTGTTTATCACAACTCCACCACCACCACCACTAACAACAACCCAATAAAATACCATCAGTGGGGTCTGGGGAGGGTAGAGTGTACGCAGACCTTACCCCTACCCCAGAGGGGAGTAGAGAGGTTGTTTCCGGGAGACCCTCGGTTCAGAAACAATAGATCTGTGACAACAAAACCCGAAAAATAATATCAGCAACGTGAGAGACAACAAATAAATGGAAAAGCAGTAACACAAATATTATGCAAAAGTGTGAAACACATCATAAATCGCTAGCAGTGCTAGACAAAACACTATCATACTCGTCGGTACAAAGAGGGAAACCGGGACAAAGAGAAAAACCGCTCGACTACCCTTTAACCTACAACCCTAATGCTCGACCTCCACACCTTCCTATCAAGAGCCATGTCCTCGGAAATCTGGAGCCGCGCTATGCCCTGTCTGATCACCTCGCCCCAATACTTCTTGGGCCTCCCTCTACCTCTTCTCGTACCTGTCAAAGCCAACCGCTCACACCTCCTAACCGGGACATCTAGGCTTCTCCTCTGCACGTATCCGAACCATCTAAGTCGCGCTTCCCACATCTTGTCGTCCACCGGAGCCACGTCCACCCTCTCCCGAATATCTTCATTCCTAATCTTATCCAGCCTAGTGTGCCCACACATCCATCTCAACATCCTCATTTCTGCTACTTTCATCTTCTGGATATGTGAATTCTTAATTGGCCAACACTCGGCCCCATACAACATGGCCGGTCTAACCACCGCTCTATAGAACTTACATTTGAGTTTCGGTGGCACATTCTTGTCACATAAGACTCCAGACGCTAACCTCCATTTTATCCACCCCACCCCAATACGGTGCGTAACATCCCCGTCGATCTCCCCATCTCCTTGGATAATTGACCCTAAGTACTTAAAACTTTCTCTCTTGAGGATGACCTGTGAGTCAAGCCTGACTTCCACATCTGCTTCCCCCGTCACGTCGCTGAACTTACATTCCACATATTCCTTCTTAGTCCTACTCAACTTGAAACCTTTAAACTCTAGGGCCTGTCTCCATACCTCCAGTCTCCCATTAACGCCGCCTCGCGTCTCATCAATCAGAACTATATCATCAGCGAACAACATACACCATGACACCTCTCCTTGGATATGGTGTGTCAGTGCGTCCATCGCCAGGGCAAATAAGAACGGGCTGAGCGCAGATCCTTGGTGTAACCCCATAACCACCGGAAAAGGCTCTAAGTCACCTCCCACAGTCCTAACCCGAGTTATAGCTCCATCATACATATCCTTTATCGCCCTAATGTAAGCCACTGGCACACTTTTCACCTCTAGACACCTCCAAAGGACGTCCCTGGGGACCTTGTCATACGCCTTCTCTAGGTCAATAAACACCATATACAAATCCCTCTTCCTATCTCTGTATTGTTCCACCAACCTCCTGATAAGGTGGATAGCTTTCGTAGTAGAACGACCCGACATGAACCCGAACTGGTTTTCCGATATAGACACCGCCTTCCTTATCCTCCCTTCCACCACCCTCTCCCAAATTTTCATGGTATGACTTTGTAACTTGATACCCCTATAGTTGTTACAATTCTGAATATCACCTTTGTTCTTGTACACCGGAACCATTGTACTCCACCGCCACTCATCAGGCATCCTCTTCATCCTGAAGATAACATTAAACAACCCAGTCAGTCACTCCAAGCCTGCTCTACCCGCATATCTCCAAAACTCTACTGAAATCTCGTCTGGTCCGGTTGCTTTGCCCCGACTCATCTTACCCATAGCACCCACGACCTCCTCAACCTTAATGCGCCTACAATACCTAAAGTCGCGATGGCTCTCGGAGTGCCCCAATTGCCCTAACACGATGTTTCCATCCCCCTCTTCATTCAGAAGTTTATGAAAGTACGACTGCCATCTTTGCCTAATCTGGGCCTCTTCCATCAATACTCGACCGTCCTCGTCTTTGATGCACCTCACTTGATCCAGGTCGCGAGCCTTCTTCTCTCGCTTTGGCCAACCGAAATAATTTCTTGTCCCTACTTTTGCCCCCAAGTTCCTCATACAGCCGACCAAATGCAACAGTCTTAGCCTCTGTGGCCGCTACTTTCGCCTCATTCCTAGCCTCCTTATATCTTTCTCTGTTCGCTCTCCTCTGATACTCGTTGGTGCTCTCTACTAACTTAATGTAAGCCGCTTTCTTGACTTCCACTTTACCTTGGACCACGTCATTCCACCACCAGTCGCCTCGGTGCCCACCAGAGTAACCTTTCGAAACTCCCAACACCTCTCTCGCTGCCTCCCTTATACAGTCCGTCGTCGCCGTCCACATAGCGCTAGCGTCCCCACCACTCTTCCAGGCACCCATAGTCGTCGGCCGCCCCTCCAACTCCCGCGCATTATCCTTAGACAAAGCTCCCCACCTGATCCTCGACTGACCCCGTACAAACCTCTTCTTCCTCTTCATCAAGATACC